AAAACTTTGCATCAGTGGCAGACATTCCTCGGAGAAATACAGTGGCTGCGCCCTTCCTTTCATATTCCAACTGGAGAGCTCAAACCCCTGTATGACCTCTTGCGAGGAGATCCTTCTCCTACGTCGTGTAGAGTACCTACACCAGAAGCCTTACGAGCACTGAGGCTAATAGAAGAGGCTCTGCAGGACATGCAGATTACGCAGATAGATTATTCTCTGCCCTTGTCATTTATAGTTCTACCTTCTAAAATTACTCCCACAGGAGTGTTCTGGCAAACGGGTCCCATTTATTGGGTCCACTTGCCGGCTTCTAACCCCCGGGTATTGACTCCCTTTTATGAGCTAGTTATTAACTTAATTTGGAAGGCTAAATATTTGGGTGATGCATTGTTTGGAAAAACCTTTGACATACTTATTCAACCTTACACTCAAGATATGATACACAAGTTACAACAAGGACATGACCTTTGGTGTCTTTTCCTGTGCAGCTTCAAGGGTCAGATTGATAATCACTTCCCTAAACATAGACTTTTGGAGGGCTTTAAAAGGTGTCCCATTATCTTCCCAAAGATTATGAAAAGGGAACCTATTCCAAAGGCCCAAACTGTATATACAGATGGGGCCAAAAATGGATTTGCCGTCGTTTTTGATGGATCTCAAATTCTCCGACAACCTGTGTCAGGTCAGTCGGCCCAAAAGGCGGAAGTTGAAGCTTTAATCATAGCTCTCAAAGTCTATAGTTCTATTCCTCTTAATGTATATACTGACAGCTTGTATGTAGCCAATCTGGCTCTAGTCATAGAAACAGCATCATATATTGGAAAGCAATCCACCATCACAGAACAACTACAGGTAGTTCAGCTTCTCATTTGGGCTAGACGAGATCCTTTATACATTGGCCACATCCGAAGCCATTCAGGGCTCCCTGGACCTTTGTCAGAGGGCAACGCAAAAGCAGACGCTGCTACTCATGCTGTCGGCCTTTCCTGTGTGACGACCGAATATGATAAGGCCTTACAATTCCATAACAAATTTCATTTAAATGCACAGTCTTTACGCTTCCACACAGGATGTTCACGAGACCAGGCTTTACAGATTGTCTCATTATGTCCAACCTGTGCACCATTTATTCATTCTCCTTCCCTTGGGGTTAATCCAAGAGGACTACAACCTAATGATGTTTGGCAAACTGATGTTACACACTTCCTTAGCTTTGGTAAGCTCTCCTTTATACATGTTTCCACTGACACATATTCTGGCTTCATTTTTGCCACCTTACATACTGGAGAGAAGGCTAAGGACGTAATCAGTCATCTTCTAAAAGCCTTTTCCTCCATGGGCACCCCACGATGCCTCAAAACCGATAATGGTCCCGCATATGTAAGCCAGGCGGTTCAACGGTTTTGCACCCAATGGGAAATTAATCATAAGACTGGAATCCCTTATAATCCACAGGGACAGGCTATCGTGGAACGAGCCCATCAACATTTAAAAACTTATTTACAAAAAATAAAAGAGGGGGAGATATACCGGAATTGTCAGGGACCACAAGCACTTCTAAGCATAACCTTATTTACTTTAAATTTTTTACTCACTGACACTGGAGGGCGCACGGCTGCACAACGCCATTTTTCCCCTCCCACTGTACAAGATGCTCAAATAAGGTGGAAAGATTTATCCACTGGAAAGTGGCAACCCCCGGCTCCACTCTTAGCTAGAGTGAGGGGAGCTGTATGTGTTTTTCCCCCAGGAACTGAGAAGCCCATTTGGATCCCGGAGCGCTGCACCAGACCGGTGAATGAAAATTCAAGACAAAATGAAGTTCCCAAGATGGCTGATCCTGCCGCTGTTGTTCTCACCCCTTCAAGTGAGTGCCAAGACACACCTCATGAGCTGGACCCCGCTTATGGCATTCCTTCTGGACAGGTTGGTTGAAGGAGGGCTTGACCCCCCACCTGGGAATATTCATGAATATCTTTTTGGAGCCCCTTGTGAGTGTAAGGGAGGGCCCCGGCACTCGGCCCCCTCTGGTTATATCCAGAGCATTGATTGTGGGACTAAAGTAGCCTATATGGCGGCTGAACTCAATCAAAACATCGAGGATTTGAGCAACCAAAATGGGTATGTGTTAATAAGCCCGGACTTGTTGTCCCTAATCCGACCGAGACTCTTGGAAGCTGTCCCGCCACTTGTCATTACACCCCGGCAATGCACATCTCCTGTTATACATCGGCCTCAATTTGTGTTAATAATCAAGGAAAACAGTATTTTGAGGCCATCCTAACTAACACCCGTGGAGAATGGGGGACCACTTATAATTACATTCCTTTTCTTGGTGACCGGGGAGGGGAAGGCATCACGACTCGGTTAACGGAAGCGGGATGTGAGGGCGTCGTGGGTAAACCTTCCTGTTGGCCCATGCAGGCCCCCATCGGAATCTCTGATGGAGGGGGACCCACTGATGCTATCAAACACCTTCAGGTGATTAAGCTTTTAAAGCCGGAGATTCCTAAGCCTACATACCATCCCTTGATATTGCCCAAATCCCAGCTTCCTGATTTAGATGCCAATACATTAGATATCCTAGAAACTACCTTTTCTTTACTTAACAGTTCCAATCCTACCCTTGCTGGTGATTGCTGGCTCTGCATGACGGCAGGTTCAGTCATGCCATTGGCGGTTCCTATCAATTATACCATTGATGATGACAACACATGTCAATCTGGGCTACCCTTTAAGGTGCAGCCTCTAGGTGGTTTTATGTCATGCCTTCTGGGCATGATGCAAAATAATACCTATGATGTTGATGTTGGAATCTCTTCTTTTGGAAACTGCTCATTAGTAAAGAATTACTCCTCACCTACTCCGCCCATTTGTCCCCCTAATGGTACAGTCTTTATGTGTGGTGGAAATTTAGCTTTTCCCAGGCTCCCAGCAAATTGGACTGGCGGTTGCGTTCTCGCATTACTGCTTCCTGATATCACGATTATCTCAGGAGATGAACCCCTACCCATTCCTAGCCTAGACATCTTAGTTAGAAGACACAAGAGAGCTGTGCAGGCCTTACCACTCCTTGTTGGCCTTGGAATAACCGCTGCTGTGGGCACAGGCACGGCGGGATTGGGTACGGCTATACATTCTTACCGCCGCCTATCTCAACAGCTTATAGATGATGTGCAAACCCTGTCGGAAACCATTAAAGACTTACAAGACCAGATAGACTCTCTAGCAGAAGTAGTTCTTCAGAACAGGCAGGGTTTAGACTTGCTTACTGCCAATCAAGGAGGAATTTGTTTAGCCCTTGGGGAGAGGTGCTGTTTTTATGCTAACAAATCTGGCATAGTTCGCACAAAAATTAAACAACTCCAAGAAGACCTAGAAAAAAGGAGGAGGGAATTATTTGAGAACCCTCTCTGGACTGGACTTAATGGATTTTTGCCTTATCTTCTTCCCTTATTGGGGCCATTGTTAGGCCTCCTTCTAGTAGTGGCAATAGGACCCTGCATTGTAAATAAGATAGTACAATTCATTAAGGATCAAATTAATATCTTAGCCTCTAAGCCGATACAGGTTCACTATCAACGCTTGAAGATGGATGATCGCCTCTCTGAGATATACTTCAGACCGATCCGAAGATGAGTGTCCTCCTTAAAAGAAGAACTCCTGCCATATCTTTTCTCTATGCATACCTCTCCCTTTTGCCTTCCTGCACTAGGATCTTTGCTGTCTAATCTCTCGGTCCAATCACATCTGCCATTCGGCGGTGACGGTCGTGGGTTCTGTAGGTGGAGACGGTTAAGCGTTCACCGCAATAATGTCTTGATAGGTCATAACACCTTGAGCTGATCTTGTAGTACCCAGTGACGGGCAACTTTCACGCTTGCTGTGCGACCTAAGACAGGGAATCGGGGCCTTCCCAGAGACGGGTAAGCATCGCAAGGGCTGTGAACGACCTAAGACAGGGGCTACTTGATTCCCACTGGCATGCAAAAAACAAAAGAGGGGGACTTGTTGGCAGCAGGTCCACCCTGGCCCCTGGAGCCCAACCTCCACTAGTTTGTTCTGCATGCCAGTGTGGCCAGCTCACAAGGCCATGGCGAACTTGCGGTTTTTCTGTTCCTGCTTATCCGTCTGAGACATATGTATCCCACGGGAATGCCTTGACCTTTTCTGGTCTGATGGACTTATTGTTAAGGGAGGTTTCGGTACCTGACAATAATAGATGTGGAAACTAAATTTCTCCCCCCTCCCTCCTGCTTTTGGGTAGTTTTCCACTTCTGCTGCTTGGGGTATAAAAAAAGGTGTGTTAGCAATAAAGATTATTATTGACTCCTGGATGAAGAACCTTGGTGTCCTGTGTGTCTTTTAACCTCGCCGTCCCTCGCCGGACTCGGCTCCCTTGGCCGGACGCGGCACACCAGGTCATAAGTTCATGAGCTGAAGTCCAATCTCCTATTATAACATCTGCTTCTTAGTGCAAGATTATTGCAATTTTCTATCACTCCTTTCTCATTCTATGTTCAAATACCCTCACATAAATTCATTAACACAAGTCATTTAACTCCCCCAGAAGACACTTTCTCCACATAATCTCCTCTTGGCCATTACTAGCTTCAGTATAAAATCACACTGAATGAGCATCAGAATGACTCAAGCACCTTGGTACTGTTCTGCCATCTGCAAACCATGGCAACTGTGAGGCTAAGTCAACCCACATACACTGCACGCAGCGTGCACCAGGTATGGATGTATGTGTGTGCGCCGGCTGTGAGTTACGTGTGTGTGTGTGTCTTATGTGAATGTCTGCATCAGGAAACTAACTGATGAGCAATTTCTACCGCATTGAAGCCAACCCCTGGCTCATATCCATTTCGTAATCTCTGGGTTAGGTAAGAGGGGGCCTTTGAGGAAGCCATGACTGTCAACAGCTCATGCACAGACCCCACAGCTTCTATATTACCAGAAGCAGCAGGAGCTCCTTCCTGTGAACCGACCACAGCCTCAGAGTCTGGTCCTGGGCAGCAGAGAGCAGCCACCTCTGGTCATGGCTCCAGCAGAGGGTGCTCACAGCTCCATCATGACCTAAAGGACCAGGAGAAAGGAAGCGCATTACCTGCACTTTCCTCCCGTGCACCACCAGGCCTCATTCAAGGAGTAAGCTATGCCGCTGGCAGCAGTGCCCCCTACGGCAATGCCACAGAGCCAAAGCTTTGACAGAAGCTCGCGGTGCACAGGCATCACTACCACAGCTTCTAGAGTTTTTGATAACCTCATCGCTCTTAAAACATGCAGCTCAAAGTCATGTGTACATCTGTGAGTATGCACTTTAAGAAAGGAAAGCTATAAAATGTAGCACTGTAAAAGAGGACTGCGATCTGAGGACTTCATAATCATGAGTCAGTATTTTGAAGAACTGTGTATGCACAAACCCCACTAAATCTCAAAGTACACTTCAAATACATCTTTTGATGGGAGTAATGAAATGCATCCCAGTTAATTAATACTCACGCCCCTCCCAGCCTACAACTGTACACTCTTGCTCCTGACCTTCTTCCCGGGGTGTCACAGGCATGCAGGCAGGCATCCTTCCACTCCCCGACCAAGCCTTGGCCCTGCACTGCCACTGTCCCGCAGGAGGCCAAGTATGCCACCTGCTGACCACCATGGGACTTACCCTTCAGCTCTAGCACCCTGAAACAAAGACCCTTACCTGAAAGGGCAGCAGGTGTTCCAGTAAGGCTGGCTTCAAAGACCAGAGAAAGACTGTTGGCTAAGCCACAGGCCAACCACCGTCCATCTCCTGTGTGAAAGTAAACACCGTTTATAAAACCCTGAAGCCTGGGAACCCCGCTGCAGGTCAGAGCAACCTGGACATTCCTTCCCTTGGTGGGGAACAAGGCTGTCAACAGGCCCACCAGCCCTCAAACACCCAGCATCTTGCATGGGCCCTTGCAGTGTGCCAGACTCAGGTTGACCCTCATACAAAGCAGGGCCATCTTCCCCACAACCCACAGAGCAGCAGGTGCTGTGATCATTGCCGCCCTCAGTATACAGGGAAGACCCAGAGCGATAGGCTGAGCCCAGGTCCTGGAGGTAATCCACAGCAGGAAGGAGGAACCCAGAGCGCGCTCCCAGGACACCACCTCCAACATTGCACTGTACTGCCGCATGGCTAGGAAGCACACCAAGCCATACAGCCTGGGGAAAAGATGACAGGTGTCATCCCCCTTCAGACTTGAGGATCTCCACCAGGCAGATGTCCTATCTCGATAACATCAAGCACATCAAATATTCAAAAGTTATTTAGCAGCAACATTACAGACATAAGTTCACAAAATTATTCAAAAAAATTTTGGTTAGAGTTACATAAAAAAGACAGGGATTTTGGCAGTGTAATAAATAATAAACTTTTAGTTTTTCACCAGAAATCTTTTGGACATGAAGCAGGTAGAGTGAAGGAAGTACTGGCACAGGGGACATCTCACCCAGCCAAACCAATGCACCTCTAAGTACACCTCTCAGAGACGAGGGAAGGGAGCTAGCTGCCTCAGCTGACTGCAACCCTCTCAAGGCTACCTCCCCACTTACCAGCTTCCTGGAAAAGAGGATGAGGTGCAGAAAAATGGGTGTGGACAAGAAGGAGAAGCCATTCCATACAGAACTACTATGGGGAAGACTAGACGGGTCATATATGCAGGAAGGAGCCCAGCAAACCATCACCATAGGAAGAGATCAGCACACACTCCAGGAACACACGTCGTGAACAAGGAGCACACGTCTCCAGAGAAAGCTGGAGACATAGTGCAGCAGAAAAGAGCCCTGCCCCTGCCCCTGCCCCTGCCCCTGCCCCTGCCCCTGCCCCTGCTGAGCAGAGGGTGAGCACCCCTCAGGAGGGCCCATGGAGCTCCTGAAAGGGACCTGAGAGTGAGGAGTGTGCCTGCACAGGGACAGGGTGGGAAATCTGCTCTGGGCACCCTACACCAACATGGGATTGAAGTCCTCAGCAATCCAGCTGTTCAATTAAGTGCAATCACAGCTTTTCTTCACATCACATGGCTGTGAGTACCTGAGTACTGGACACAGCTCACAGCAGTGGGCTCCTGGCACACAGCAACCTGCTTGCTGGGTTTACTTGGCACGGAGGTCTCCAAAGGGTACTCCTCACTGGTAGGAGAACAGAAAAAACAAAAATAAAGGGCTTATGTCAATGAGTTTACAAATAAACATGAAACCAGGTGAAGTGGATTTCTCCTAATTACCTAATATTGTTCTATAAACTTGGAAATATATGAACTCTACATTTGGAAATACATAGGACTACAGAAAGATACTAACGTTCAAAAATTTTTAAAGGGAATGCATTTAAATGAATCATTATTCCTACATGGCCTAGAATACACAGCTACTACCTATAATAATGATGCTAAATATAAAAAGTTCACTAGAAGAATTCTCTTGTATGAGTATCATGGAATGCATTACACGAAAGGCATGGCAGCCATAAACTCCAGCTGTATAACAGAAACACAGCCATGGAACAGAGCATGCTGGTAGGTGCAGATGCTCCTGGACTTAAAGTCAGGCTGAGGC